ACGCTGTTGCACAGGCCGGAGTGCACTGCTTGTTCAAGGCTCACTACAGCCTTGACCTCTGGGCTCAAGGGACCCTCCTCCCTCTTCTGCCACCAGAGGAGCTGGGACTACACCACCACACCTGGCTAAGTCAATGTTTTGTGATTTTGTTTGTTGTTGTTGTACTTTTCCCTTGTCCAGTAGCCATTACCCTTCCTTCTAGTCACAAGCCCCTGATTTTCCTCTGGGGAACTCCCTTTGCCTCCATCTCAGCCTTGGAAATTAAGCTAAGGCTGATTCCAGCAGCAAGTTCCAGGGGAGGGCACTTAGCCAGGCCATCCCAACAGGCAGTCCAAATCGCCATCCATCATTAGTTCAAGGGTGGGCACGGAACGCAGGTTGAGACAATGAGTTATTCCTGGCAATATTGCTGACATTACAGAGAGGGGAAAATTCTCTTCAGTTTTGCTGTTGGGAGGTAAACCTGAATCTATTGGAGGCCTTTTATCACTAGGAGAGGAGAACTGGCTCATTCAGAGAAATGCATGAGAAAGCTCATTCAGAAAAACAAACAGGCTGGGTGCAGTGGCTCACGCCTGTAATCTCACACTTTGGGAGGCCAAGGAGTGGATCACTTGAGGCCAAGAGTTTGAGACCAGCCTGGCCAACATGGTGAGATACTCCCCGACACCCCCACCTCTACTAAAAATACAAAAATTAGCCAGGCGTGGTGGTGCACACCTGCAATCCCAGCTACCTGGGAAGCTGAGGCAGGAGAACCGCTTGAACTCAGGAAATGGAGGTTGCACTGAGTGGAGATTGCACCACTGCACTCCGGCCTGGGCGACAGGGCAGGACTCCATCTCAAAAAAAAAAAAGAAGAAGAAGAAGAAGCAAGAAAAACAAACAAAAACAGAGCCAAGAGTCATGAATATATGGAAGCCCCTGGATACGTCGGTATCGGATGTCCACGCTCTTGTTAATTCCAAAATCCAATAAATTCATTGTTTTCTCTTTAACCACCTTCAGACATTGTCTATCATGTGCATCCCAATGTGTCCTAACTTACTCCCTCACCTGGCTCTGCTCACCTGGTTCTTTTTGATGTGCTGCTGGACCGCCTGTAAGCCGTCGCCTCGCTCTGTCTGCATGGCCAGTGGCAGCCGCTCCTGAACCCATGCCTGGAGGGGACACAGGGGGCAGGTCAAGGAGGGAATGCATCCGAGAACCCCTGCATAGAAACTAAACTTTACCCTTGCGCGGCATCCAAGGCCCTTCCTTGCCTAAGAGCCCAGTCACATCTTCGGCCTCCTCCCTCTATTTTTTCTGGGGGGGGGGGGATTTAACCCCCAGGCTTAAATAATCCTCCCACCTCAGCCTCCCGAGTAGCTGAGACTACAGGCGCCACCACACTGTCTCAGCCTCCTCTGTTGACATACTCTGTCTTACTCCCTGTGCTCAAGCCAGGCTCACACCATGGGCCTTTCCACTAGCAGGTCTGGCTTCCTGGAATTCCATTCCCATTTCCTCAGCTGGCTCACTGGTACTCTTCCTTCAGACCTCAGCTCAGATATCCCCTCCTCCAGGAAGCCCTCCCTGACTTTAAACCTTGGCCAGCTGCCTTCCCTGGGCTCCCACAAACCCCTACACTCCCCTATCATATTCCTAAACACCCTGAATTGTCACCGTCTGGGGACAAGTCTATTTTCCCTGTTGGACTCCGAGACAGGGTCTGCCTTGGTCACCCCTGTGGCCCCAGTATCATCCAAACACAGCGCTGGGGCCAGAATGATCAACTGAGTGAGCAAATGAATGAGCAAATCAGGAAGTTGAGTGATGGAATGAGGAAATGAACAGAGGCCTGAATGAGTGAATGAATAGTAAGTAAATAAATGAGTGGAGGAAAATGGAAGAGTGAATCAATAAATGAGTGACTTCATGAATAAATCAATGATTCAAAGCGAGTAAATGAATGTGAATGAATGAATGAGTGAAGGGCTGAATGCGTTTTTCAGCATATGGGTGGGAACGTCTCAGTCCTCTCCATCCTCGGCCCCGACCCGTGCCCATCTTCTCCGTCCCCCCTCCGCCCCCCGCCCCGCCCAGCCCCGGGCTCCTGCGGGGGCCTCACCAGCTCGTCGTCCAGGTCGTGCGCCACCTGGTGCAACTCCTTGGAGGCCAGCAGCAAGCGGCGGCGCTCCTGCAGCGGCTCGAGCAGGCGCACCAGGCGCTCGCCCACCGCGTTCTGCCGCTCGCCCACCAGCTCCTTGCTCGCGGGTTCCAGCGGAAGCGCCGCAGTCTGGGCCTGTAGCTCTCCCACCTCGCGGTACCATTCCTCTACCTGCGACTCCATGGACTATGGGGACAGGGGACAGGGGCAGGGTCAGCAGGGCCCACCTGCTCTCCCGATCCTGCTGTGACTCTCCAGTACCTTTATGGTGACAGCCAGACCCCTCACTGCGGCCCACCCTTCTACCCTCTCCTTGCTCAGTCCCCTCCAGGAGCGATGCCCTCCGCATGAACCTGCATCACACTAAGCTAGTCCCTGCCTGGGAGCCTTTGCCTTTGCTGTTTCTTCTGCGGGGCATGCTCTTCCTTGTCAATCAATTTCAGCTGGAGTATTACCTTCCCAAAGAGGCTCACCTGACCCGGGAACTAAAGTGGTCCATTAATTGACTAGTTCTCAGAACAACCGTTCAACGTTGGTAGTCTCCCTGTTTTACAGAGGAGGAAACTGAGGCCAAGAGAAGTTAAAGAATTTGTCCAAAGAGTCAACTTTCCAAAAATTATTACTATCGAGTTTAGTAATAATTTTTTGTTAATTATTTTTTTATTTTGAGAAGGAGTCTGGCTCTCTCGAGGCTGGAGTGCAATGGCATAATCTTGGCTCAATGCAATCTTCACTTCCCGGGTTCAAGTGATTCTCCTGCCTCAGCCTCCGGAGTAGCTGGGATTACAAGCACTCACCATCATGCCTGGCTAAATTTTGTATTTTTGAAGAGATGGGGTTTCACCATAATGGCCAGGCTGGTCTTGAACTCCTGATGTCAGGTGATCCTCCCAAAGTGCTGGGATTATGGGCAGGGGCCATTGCACCCATTTGAACTTTTTTTTTTTTTTTTGAGATGGATGAGCAAAGCAGCCTGCACTGTGTCACCCAGGCTGGAGAGCCGTGGGTGATCTCAGCTCACTGCAACCTCCACCTCCCAGGTTCATGCAATTCTCGTCCCTCAGCCTCCCAAGTAGCTGGGGCTACAGGCACCTGCCACCATGCCCAGCTAATTTATTTTTGTATTTTTCAAAAATACAAAATGTGGGGTTTCACCACATTGGGCAGGCTGATCTCAAACTCCTAACCTCAAGCGATTTGCCCATCTTGGCCTCCCAAAATGCTGGGATTACAGGCTGAAAAAATATTTGACACTAAAAAATTATCAAAATAAATACAAAGCTATAGTGACTTGGATGGCAGCTGTGTCATAGGGATAGACAGGAATGCAAAAGCAGACCCAAATATACAGGAAAATGCATGTGTTTCATAGGTGCCAATTCAAATCCCCAAGGAAAAGATGGATTACTTAATGAATGGTCATGGGCTAACTGGCTAATCATTTTAGCTGGATCCTTTCCTTATTGTTTGTACTGAAAACAATTCCAGATGGATTAAAGACCTAAATGGAGAGAGTAAATCCATAAGACACTAAAAGAAAACCTGTGCAAATGTGTTTATAACGTTGGGATGGAGAAAAATCTAAGCATAAAAAACATAAAGGGAAAGATTTATCAATTTGATCACATAAAAATTAAAATGCTTCTGCATCAACCAAAATTTCATAGAGTTGGAAGGCAAACGACAAACTGTAAAAACTGATATATATTAGAGCAAGGAACTAGTTTCTTTAACAATCAAAGAATTTCCCTCTATCGTGCTTCCTTTGCCTTCATAGCACTTACCACCATCAGACAACTCTCTTTATTTTTTAGGGGTGTGTTGTTTTTGTTTTCTGACAGGGTCTTGCTCTGTCATCCAGGCCAGAGTGCAGTGGTGAGATCACAGCTCACTGCAGCCTCAAACTCCCGGGCTCAAGGGATCCTCTTGCCTCAGCCTCCCAAGTTGCTAGGACTACAGGCACACACCACCATGCCCAGCTCATTTTTAAAATTTGTCATAAAGATGGGGGTCTCGCTATGTTGCCCAGGCTGGTCTTGAACTCCTGTGCTCAAATTTCTCCCACATTGGCCTTCCAAAGTGCTGGGATTACAGGTGTGAGCCACTGCTTCTGGGTACTTGTGTATTTTTTACTGGTCCCTGCTTTCAGAATGTAACCCACATGAGGGGAGGGGCTCTGTCATACTCACTGCTGTATTCTTGAAAGCCTAGAACAATTTCTGGTACACAATAGGCCTTCAGTTATGATTTGTTCAATGTATGCATGAATGACATCAGCAAAGAAAAAGACTGCCCAAAAAGAGAAATGGGTATCAGATGTGAACAGGCAACAGACAAAAGAAATAAGCATATAAAAAGGTGCCCAGTCTTGTTAATCAGCTGGAAAATGCAAACTTAAACAAGACATCCTTTTTTTTTTTTTTTTTTTGAGACAGAGTTTTGCTCTTTTTGCCCAGGTTGGAGTGCAATGGCACGATCTCAGCTTACTGCAACCTCCACCTCCTGGGAGGAATCGCCTTGGAATCACCTCCAAGTGATTCTTCTGCCTCAGTCTCTAGAGTGGCTGGGATTACAGGCACGTGCCACTATGCTCAGCTAAGTTTTTGCATTTTTAACAGAAATGGGGTTTCACCATGTTTGCCAGGCTAGTCTTGAAGTCCCGATCTCAGGTGATCCACCTGCCTCGGCCTCCCAAAGTGCTGGGATTACAGAAGTGAGCCACCATGCCTAGCCAAGACATCCTTTTCTATACATTAGGCTAGCAAAAATGTAAAAGACTTATAGTATCTAATGCTGGAAAAGATGCTGGGAGATGGGCACACTCAGCCACTGTCACTGGTGGTGTAAATTGGTAGAGTCTTTTTGGAAGGCAATTTGGCAGGTCTTACATCAAAATGCAAAATGTGCATCTGCTTGACTCAGCACTGGCACTTCCACTTCTAGGAATATAACTAAAAAAATACTGGCACAGACCTGGCGCGGTGGCTCATGCCTGTAATCCCAGCACTTTGGGAGGCCAAGGCGGGTGGATCACAAGGTCAGGAGTTTGCGACCAGCCTGGCCAACATAGTAAAACCTCATCTCCATTAAAAATACAAAAATTAGCTAGGCGTGGTGGTGCATGCCTGTAATCCCAGCTACTCAGGAGGCTGAGGCAGGAGAATTGCTTGAATTGAGGCAAACGTTGCAGTGAGCTGAGATTGCGCCACTTCAGCCTGGGTGACAGAGTAAGACTCTATCTCAAAATAAATAAATAGGCCGGGCATGGTGGCTCACGCCTGTAATCCCAGCACTTTGCCAGGCCGAGGTGGGCGGATCACCTGAGCTCTGGAGTTCGAGACCAGCCTGACCAACATAGTGAAACCCTGTCTATAAAAAACAAAAATAATAAATAAATACATAAAATTTAAAAAGAAAATACATTTTAAAAAGAAAAAAAAAAAGAAATACTGGCAGAGATCCACAAAGATCTCTCTGGGCAGAGTTTGTGATGGGAAAAACATGGAAACAACCCGAATGTTCATCAGGAGAGAAACGGTTAAGCCAGGTGCAGCAGCTCATGCCTAAAATCCCAGCTATGTGGAGGCTGAGGTGAGAGGACTGCTTGAGCCCAGAAGTTTGAGACCAGCCTGGGCAACACAGTGAGACCTCCTCTCTCTTTTTTTTTTTTGAGACTGAATCTTGCTCTGTCATCCAGACTAGAGTGCAGTGGTGCGATCCCAGCTCACTGTAACCTCCACCTCCCGGGTTCAAGTGATTTTCCTCCCTCAGCCTCCTGAGTAGCTGAGATTACAGGCATTCGCCACCATGCCTGGCTAATTTTTGTATTTTTAGTTGAGACAAAGTTTCACCATGTTGGTCAGGCTGGTCTCGAACTCCTGACCTGTGATCCGCCTGCATCGGCCTCCCAAAGTGCTGGGATTACAGGCGTGAGCCACCATGCCCAGCGTGAAACCTCCTCTCTTAAAAAAAAAACAAAGAGTAAAATGGTTAAACAAATCAAGACCAGTATGAAATAATAGCCAAGAGTTGCTGTGAAGAAAAAAAAAGCAATTTAGAACCTACCTATGAATATAAATGTGGAGTGGATTGCCCATGCATAAAAATTCCCTGGAGTAAACAAGAAGTTGGTAACAGATGGTTCCTATTAAGAGGATGAGAACTTACTGAATGGGGAACAGGAATGAAGCAGATAATTTCCCCATAGGATTTCCTTAGAGTTTTTGATGTCTTAACCATGAAAATTCATTTATTCAAAAATTGAAATTAAAACATGAATGCCTGGAAAGTGCTGTTTTTTGTTTTTTTTTTTTTTTTTGAGACGGAGTTTCGCTGTTGTTACCCAGGCTGGAGTGCAATGGCGCGATCTCGGCTCACCGCAATCTCCGCCTCCTGGGTTCAAGCAATTCTCCTGCCTCAGCCTCCCGAGTAGCTACAGGCGCGCACCACCATGCCCAGCTAATTTTTGTATTTTTAGTAGAGACGGGGTTTTACCTTGTTGACCAGGATGGTCTCGATCTCTTGACCTCGTGATCCATCTGCCTCGGCCTCCCAAAGTGCTGGGAATAGGCTTGAGCCACCACGCCTGGCCTTGTTTTTGTTTAATTTAAAAAAATTAAACATGAAAATAAAATCAAATAAAAACATTAAACAACCATATACGTAGACTTGTAGATGCAGAAAGAGGCACAGACAGATGCACACAACGTGACTGAGGCTCCCTTTGGGATGTGGGATTGGGAGGCAGATCAGAGGGAGACTTTAGGTTTTACTGAAGACTGCTGGGTTAGTAAACTTTTTTCCCAAAAGAATACATTTATGTATTACCCTTGTGATTCTAAACAGATGGAGGAAAACTAGAGAAGAAAGCAAAATAACAACAACAAAAAATTAAGTGGTAGCAGATTATGGCAAATGACTGCAAAACAAAACCCAAAACTCAAGAACCAAGCCAAGACTTCTTGTTCCCAGGTTCTGTAGTGCACAGTTATTGGTTTTGCCTGCCCAAAATCCATCCTCTCCTTCCAAACACATCAAAACTCACTCTCCGGTCCTGAGCTTCCTGAAGGGCAAATGAAACCTAGAGAGCCATGGGTAATCACATGACCCAGGTGGGGCCAATCAGCACAGTGAAAACACCCTTGCTATAAGGATTGGGTTAGAGATGAGCATGTGATCTCAGATGG